ACTTTTCTCAGTTCATGGGCAGTTATTTTGCGCCTTGGTTTTTCCACACGCTTCTTGCGACCCTGTTGACTATTGTGAATGAAACACTTGATTGTTCGATGATCACGCTTCAGAAGCTTTGCAATTTTGAGACTGCTGCATCCCTCTGCAAGATATCTCACTATTTTTGACTTTTCTGAGCCCGTCAAGTCCTTCTTTTGACCCATTTTGCCAAAGAAAAGGACGTTGCCTAATAATTATGCACACCTGATATAGGGTGTTGATGTCATTAGACCACACCCCTTCTCATTACAGAGATGCACATCACCTAATATGCTTGATTGGTAGTAGGCTTTCGAGCCTATACAGCTTGGAGTAAGACAACATGCATGAAGAGGATGATGTGGACAAAATACTCATTTGCCTAATAATTCTGCACTCCCTGTAATAGATGGACATTCTCCTTCAGATAGCTGAAGAAGAAACTGATAGCAGAGAGCAGAATTCAGGGTTCCTTCAAGTCTTCCAGGTAGGTCTTGAAGCAGCAAAGCAGCCCTAGACCATCACACTACCACTACCATGTGTTGATGTTCTTTTTATGAAATTGTTAGTTTCATGTCCGATGTAACAAGACTCAAACCTTCCAAAAAGTTCAAGATTTCCTTTGTCAGTGCACAGAATATTTCTCCAAAGGTTTTGGGGGGGTCATCACAATGTGAGATGAAACTTTGTTTGATTAAAACCATGACCCTGCACTTCCCCAGATGTTGTTCTGGAGTAATTTTGATATGCTGGACACTCCTAAGAAGGGCAACTGCTTTTCCGAGTTTTCTGTATTTGTGTATAATGGCTCTCACAGTGGTTCACTGAAGTCCCAAAGCTTTAGAAATGGCTTTGTAAATCTTTCCATACTGATACTTCAGTTTTTCACTAGTTAGTCACACTTACTTTAAGATTTAACAATGGAAGTATTTTCACACACAATCAGGAAGGTTTGGAGAATGTTCTTCACTTACTGAATGAAATCATCATTTAATAACTGCATTTATATTTATTCGAGTTGTCTTTGTTTAATATTAAAATTACTTTGATGATCTGAAACATGTGAGTGTGATAAATATGCCAAAAAAATAAAATAAAAAGATATCGGGAAGGAGGCAAATGCTTTTTCACTGCTGTGTACACGTGACTCTTTGGAGGCCTTCTCTGTCTATTTTCATGACCCTGAAGGTTAAAGAGTGTTACTTTGTGCATGCGTTACTGTGGCGAGTGAATGAAAGGCATACTTTACCTCCTACTATAAGATGAGTGTTTGGGAACACATTCTTTGCCTGCATCAGAGCTCGAGCATGTCCCGAATGGAAAAGATCAAAGATTCCATCAGCGTAGACTCTCACGGGGCGGTTAGCTAAACATGAAGGATGGTCTTTAAATGTAGTCATGTCATGACATAAAACTGGAGCAGTTTATATTTTTGCTGTTACAAATATGGAATTCTAATGACACAGTGATGCTTTTAATTGTTAGTTAATCATTATTTTGCTGATTTGTCACTCAGTCAGATTCACAGCTGTGATCAAACCCTGAATCATCAAAATAACTGGCAGTTATGTAACAATGCTGATAATGAAATCACTTTTTTATAACTGATATCAGACAATTACAGCACAGCAAAACATCTTGGGTTAACTTTTCTTTTCCGAATTATCTTCCCTGTGTATTCAGAGTTTTTTTAAAAAGGTGGTGATAAGTGCAACCTGGTGTCCCCCTCCGTGCTTGAGCAATGGTGAGCTTGTCATGTGGGATATCAGATTCAAAACCTGTAGACTTGGCAAAATCTGCTGGCTCCCGTGGAGTCTGAACACAAAGACCAGATGGAGACATTCAGATACAGTTGGTGCAAAAAGTCATCTGTTCTCAAAATCATTTCAATTTTACAGGTCGCCAGAATACATTATATGACACAAAACTATGTGTAATTACTGACGAAACATGTTCCCTCTTGCTTCATTCCTAACTGCTCGTGTTTCAAGTTTATCCAATCTCTTGCACGTGTTCAGACTTCTGCCCAGAAGTGGATGTTATTGGTATAGTCATGTTGCATTTGATAAACACCGGGGTTCATAAAAACAGAAACTGTAAGACAGTATACAGGAACACTTTAGAAAATTAAAGCATTTAAGTGAATTACTTATAATAGAAATATATGAGATGTGGTAGGTTTGCAGGTTGTGCCTCCTCTCTGTATGATAATAACTTAAAGGTAGTTTTTTTTTTACCAATTTTAGCACATGGATGTTCAAAGATGCTATAGACTTTGTGTTGCATGCATGTCCACCTTTATCCTTTGGTGTGCTGAAAGATATACTTTAAACTCTTGATCTCTTTTTAAGTGTCTTTTGCTCCCTGAGTTGTGTTCAAATATATGATTGGTTAGTATACCAGTGCAAAATATTAATTTGACCTTGTAAACATTAGCAACATGCTCCTATGCTTCTTAATTTTTGTCTTGTATTCTGATCTCAGCCTTCATGGCTTATACACATACTGACGCACAAGCCAGCATATTTCCACATCGGACATAAATGTAAGAATTAAAATTCGAATAAATAATTATTGTTTTCGTGTTAAGTCTTTAATTCCTTTTGACATTAATTATTGCTACTGCAGACATGAGTCATGCTGTTCCACGGAGTTAATCGGTTAACTTATCCCAGTCATATAACCACAGTGGAAAAGATTACCTCAGTAATATTCAAAGCATGTTAAATAATAATGCAGTATAAGGCAGAGATATACCTCACTTCATTATAGTGTCCTCTAAATATATTCACAAAAACAAAATAAGAGGGGATCTCGTGGGGCTCCCTGTTGTTTATTATTTGAAAAACAGTGTGCAGTTGGTTCTCTTTGCTAATGACAGAAGCAGGCTTACCCTGCGAGGGCCTCCTCTTTGATTGTGCGTGGCAGCCTGTTGATGGTGCTGTCCATTGCCGCCACGGCCTCGTCTCCTGCGAGCCATCTGGGATGTTCTTTTTTCAGCCAACAATAACACTGCACAAGCCTGGTGCTCCTCTCTGTCAGCCCTACTACTGCAAGGGAAGGATCTCTAAAGCTGTGTGTCTGTTGAAGTATACATCCTATCACCCTGCCTGACCCTGATGACAGGATAACATAGCGGGCAAAGTTCAGGCCACAGTGGTAAAGGCTTTCAGAAATGTAGATTGCATTTGCAATCAATGCTGAGCTTGGAAAGACTTTCCCTTTATTTGTGCAGTGGCAGCAGCAGCATGATCCAGCGAGTGTTGATCCACTGAAAGTCCAACTCTTTAACATTTTAGTACACATCTGTAAAAATATGCTTGCTTTTTTTTTTTTTTACCATTTTTCAAAATTTTATTCCTTACGTTTTAACATAAAGAATAGCGGCTGCATACGTAACACTGTAATTTTTTCTGAGAAAGCCATTCAAGATAAACTATGAAGCTGTAATGGGAGGTCAGACACTACCAGCCTTTGGAACCAAACACAGGGGACAGTGAGTCCCGGCATTTCTCAGAGTTGTTAAAAGTTAGCCACAGTGGCAGAAATCTGTGTATATCTTAAAATCAATAACATCCTGTCTTTCTTGTGCATTATAGCACACAATGCACATCCTGGTTTTGACATCAACTCATGCAGCTTTTTGGTGCTGAAGTGTTTCCCTATGTAACACACACAAACACGACCGTGGCTCAGGGGGTTGGGAAGCGTATCTGTAACCGGAAGGTCGCCGGTTTGATCCCCGGGCTCTCTGTCCTGGTCGTTGTGTCCTTGGGCAAGACACTTTACCCTACTGGTGTTGGCCAGAGGGGCCGATGGCGCGATGTGGCAGCCTTGCTTCTGTCAGTCTGCCCCAGGGCAGCTGTGGCTACAACCGTAGCTTGCCTCCACCAGTGTGTGAATGCGAGAGTGAATGAATAGTGGCATTGTAAAGCGCTTTGGGTGCCTTGAAAAGCGCTACATAAATCCAATCCATTATTATTATTAAAGCTGCACACGAAACATTATTTTCTACACAAAAATAAATAAAACTAAGACTTTTCAGGGAGGCTAGCTGCTAAAAAATGTTTTAGCCAGTCAGTGACTCTGTCTACTCTGTTTCAGTTCAAGTATATGAAAAACACTGACTAGTGTGATTACATAACTTTTCATTTAGTGCTAACATCTGGTCAAAGTTTCAGTTTGTCTAGCAGGCTACTTTTATGACTAATATTCCCATCAGACATCTGCCTTTTTTCTTTAACTCTGCTCTCTTTAGTTTCACTTTAACTTTGAGCTGAGCTGTTTTTGAGTAAATCCAATGATTTTGTACAAAACACATTTTAAAAGTAATGCACCTAGCGCTAAGCACTGGTGACAAGGCTGAGATAACAAGGCTGAAAGTCTCTTTGGGTGTGTGGCATGTTCAGGAGATACCAAAGATATGCAGTGATCTATATCTTTGTAAGGTATTTAAGGTATTTAAGACTTTATCAAAAGGTCCAAATTATTTATTGTAGAACTATTTTTCTAAAGAGGAAACTTTGAGTCAGATAGTCGGTCACACAGTGGAAATTTAAGAAATGTTTCACCAAACCACAGATTGGATGATCAGCTCATACATATGTCTGCTTTTACGAATTACTGTACTGTAATCCGCAATAAAGTGTTGGGAAATCTTTAACTGCTTTATGGAGGTGAGCTCATAATGAACAACTGGCCTTGGTTTTCCAGAAGTGACTTATGGAAAATCCCTTGAACATGTTTCACTTTCATTGTTATTCCTCCCTGATAAATCGCAGCACTTTGAAAAACAAATGCTAGATTTTTGGTTCCAGATCAGAATAATCTCAGTCAGCAACAAGCATAACCGGTGTGATCACACAGGAAGGGGGAGCGATTTCATGGGAATTTCTCACCTGTGAACACAATGACATGGGGTAAGGGGGTGTGGTTATCTATGCGAAAGCATGCTGGGCGGGAGCATTGCTGTGCTGTTCCTCTCACTTCCTGAACTGAAGGCCTCCAAATATGTGGAGGTACAAACGCAGGATAACCTAACATTCAGGAGCTTTGACACACCACGTTACCCTGCATTGAAGGTAAGACTCTGATTACAATAAAAACATTTCATATTCTTACATTCTTTGGAGAAAGGCAGAACCTGTACTATACAAAAGGCGTGCTCTATAAATCACCAGTCTCAGGGTGTTCAAGGAGCAAACACATATTTTTCTGCTCTTTTCTGACTCCTGTTTGGTAGATGAGTAACCAATTAAGGATACAGTGTAAAGTATTCGAGAAAGAGAACCGTCTGTTTTGTTTGTGTGGTTATATTATGAACAGGATAATGTTTGAAATGTCTTTTTATGTAATAGTCTGATCTAGACTGATTAATCTATTTCAGTTTAAAGTGCCCGTGTAAAGCATGCTCCTGTGGCAGTATCTGATAACCTTTCTGCTGGTTACTGTTCAAATATGCAAAGGTAGGAAACAAATCATGAAAATGTAAATGGCTTTCTTTACATATCAGCGGTGTGTGTGTGTGTGTGTGTGTGTGTGTGTGTGTGTGTGTGTGTGTGTGTGTGTGTGTGTACAGTGTTTGCACACACGTACAGCTGTGGTCACAAAACATATGACAAAAATGTATCACAAGTTTTCAGTCAAGCAGCATTTGAGGAAATGCTGTTTCTTGGAATTAGTTAAGGGTCCTCTTCTAATTTTACTGTAAGTGGAGTCACTGCTGATGTGCAACTGTTACTGAAAAACACATTTCTGTACTTTTCTTTTCATCTTAGTAAATAACCATCTTGTCAGTGATAAAATCTTTAAACAATCGAATAATCTAGATATCATTTCAAGTTCTTACAAAGTCCGTGTCTAAAATATGCATTTGCTTAGCAGTAGATAGTTATATGTACAGAGGTGTGTCCTGAGCTTGGGTGCAGTAAGTTTCAGTGAGTCAGTGCGACATGAAAACTTGTAATGAGGAACAATGAACTACACACTGAAACCAGTAGTACTGATGTCACAAGATGACATCAGCACAATGTTGGTTTGAGATAGTATACAAACACGCTTTCGGCACTAAGTGATCACAAAAAAATGGTTTGCATGCTTTAGTCACACTGATGTTAAATCTCTTATGAGAAACATGTGGCCAAGGTAGCAGCGATACAAATTCAAAACCCGTTAAAAATGCAGTATTAAAAGACAAGATCTACAACAGCAACAATATCTATGCTGGTCAGATCCATAAAGGTCCCACAAATTACATGAGACACACACTGGATATGAGGAATGGAAGTCGTCACTGTGATGTCAGGTTTGAGGCCTTGATTTTGGGGTTCTGCCCTGTTTTAAATCATTTGTAGAATTCACAATGAAGCAAGCAGCAGTATTTAACAAGTAACTCCTCCAAAAGGCTCCAACACTGAGTCAATGAATTGGAGATGTCCAATTCATTGACTCAGTGTATATATATATATATATATATATATATATATATATATATATATATATATATATATATGACACATGCCTCTCAAGATGGCGCAAAGTTTAGACGTATAGTATTTAGATGTTGTGCAATCTTTCCCATGCAATGTCTGCAGAGATCAATTACATAATATCTTATTTACCTGAATGCATCTGTCTTGTTTTGTTTTTTATCTCTCACCAGCTGAGAAATGCGATGAATTTACCGATCTGAATCTTGGTCACTCAATCATTGGTACCAGCCTCAAAGTTCGGTTGTTGCTATACACTAGATTAAATGGGACATGTGGTACCCTTATGTCCCACACCGACCTGTCTGCCTACCCCCAATTTAATGCGTCAAAACCGACCACCTTCATCATTCATGGGTATCGGCCCACTGGATCTCCACCGAACTGGCTCAATAAGCTCACTGAGCGTCTGCTGGTCAGGAAAGACATAAACGTTATAGTGGTAGACTGGAACTACGGTGCTGCGACTCTGAAATATTGGGAAGCAGTGAAGAACACACGCAAAGTAGCATCCAACATCACAGCTTTGATTAATATGTTGCAGGTATGGCAAGTTGTCTGATTTCAAATGTCAGAGTGTGTAGTGTCTAGCGATTCTAAAACTGATATTTTTTCAGGAGCACGGAGCCGATCTGAGCTCCATCCACATGATTGGTGTCAGTCTAGGAGCTCACATATCAGGCTTTACGGGCGCTAACTTGAAGGGAGAAATTGGAAGAATAACAGGTAAGAGTGGCACTTACATTGACGTCACTTCCACTTCCTGATATAGAATTAAAACCTGAAGTGGTATTTTTACTTGTTTTAAATCCCTCTAAAACAGGCCAATAGTAAAGCGAGCCTAATTTATGTTTCAGGTCTTAAGAACAATCTTATTTGACTCAATCTAAAGGAGAAGAAAACTTCTTAAGAACTTGTCCCATTGAGAAGTTTGCATGACGTTTGGAAGCTGACGTGCTTAAGGGTGACATTTTGTAGTGGCTCTTGACTGAGCTTTTAATTCCTAGATTTCCAACTTTAGAAGTCACTAATAGCAAAAGGAGATAAAGCCACTGGTGCTGAAGGGTTTAATAAAAGTTGCAGAGTGTATGAACAATGTGTTATTTGTCATGGTTGAGTTGTGGACTCAAAGGAACATACCGTGCTTCGGGTTTTGCCTGGGTTGGAGTCGCCATGAAAAAAGCGGCACAGTTTTGGTAAAATTCCCTGAGGAGAGATGACGTTCAAAGATCACGCTAATTCTCTGGAGGCTCACTGAGAATATCTGGTTTAAAACAGCAGGGAAAAACTGTCACATGAAAAAAAGATACGTAGAAAAAAATGAGAAAAGGAGACAGCTATGAAGGTCAGCTGGGATAAGCGCTCGTCCTAGGTGTTGTCGGAATATTTAAGTGAGGTCAACATTCTGTTTTCGACTGATGTTTTCTACTGTGATGTTTGCAGCACTGGATCCTGCTGGGCCAGGGTTCAAAGGCAAAAACCCAGAGGACCGACTGGACTCTTCAGATGCACAGTTTGTGGATGCCTTGCACACAGACATGGATTGTCAGTCAATCACCTTATTTATTATTATGAAGAATTTCTTTTCTTTACACAAAACAGGCATACACGTTGTGTATATGTGTCAATTTGTTATTGTTATATTACAGTGCTGGGTTTCAGGGAACCTTTAGGTCACATTGATTTCTACGCCAATGGAGGAGCAGACCAACCCGGCTGCCCAAAGACTATTTTCTCAGGTAAGATCAGTAAGTTTAAGAAACTTTTGGTATAAAGAACTGAACTTTATGTTAACAATTTACTTTCTCATCCCTGAAAAGGACAGTATTTTAAATGTGACCACCGGAGATCGGTGTTCCTCTTCATTGACTCTATAAATGCCACATGTACCAGCAGGACCTACCCCTGCTCGTCCTATAAAGACTTTCTGGATGGCAAATGCTTAACCTGCAGTCAGTTTGGTAATGCTGGATGTCCTATTTTAGGTTGGTGATGAAAAACACACAGATTAAATTTTCTGTCAACTAACAGGCAGTTACGAAAATCCAAATATGCACATTTTGCCAGTTTGTATTTTATTTCTTTAGATTTTACAGTGTATTATTCAGCACTGACACAGGTGTTTTAACCTAACCCAGGTTATGACGTCATAAAATGGAAAGACATCCTGCTGGAACAGAACCAAACAAAGGCCTACTTCAGAACAAACGAAAAATCTCCATACTGCAGTGAGTAACAGTTTACTAATGATCAGTAAGCTATAAAAAAAATCCTTAATTTCAATACAGCATACAATCTGATTGTCAGCCTGCACTGCCACCTAGTGGTAGAACTATACTTTTCTCAATGGTTTAACACATTTTAATGTGCCACTTTATTAGGTACACCTGTTCAACTTGTTATTAAAGCAAATATTTAATTAGTCAATCACATGACAGCATCTCGGTGCATTTATTACATTTGCCAGAGGTCAGAGTAGAATGACCAGGCTGATTTGAGCTGTTAGGAAAGCAACAGTAACCACTCTTTACGAATAAAGGTATGCAGAAAAGCATCTCTGAATTCGCAACATGTCAGACCAAATGGGCCACAGCAACAGAATCAGGAAGTCTTGCTCCTATCAGCTAAGAAAAGGGAACTGTGTTTAAAGTGTGCACAGGTCCACCAAAATTAGACAAATGAAGATTGGAAACACATTACCAGGTCTCAGGAGTGTCGTTGTCTGCTGTGAGATTTGGCATAAACAACATGATAATATTGATCTTTCCTGCCTTATTTTTGAGATATCCCAGATTGTGCTGGTGTAATGGTGTGTGGGATATCTTCTTGGCACACTTTGGAGCCCATATTATGAACTAAGCATCGTTTGAGTGTCACAGTCTACCTGATTATTGTTGCTGACCATGTCCATCCCTTTATGACCACTGCTTCCAGCAAGATAACACGCTGTGTCAAAAAGCTCAAATCATCACAAACTGGTTTCTTGAGCATGACATTTAGTCCACTCTTCTCAAAGGGCCTCCACAGTCACCAGATCTCAATCCAACAAAGCACCTTTGGGATGTGGTGGAACGAAAGTTTTATATCCTTAATGTGCAGTTGACAAATCTGCTGTAACTGTGTTTTGCTGTGATGTTAATGCGGACCAAAATCTCAGAGGAATGTTTCCAGCACCTTGTTGATTCTATGCCATGAGGAATTTATTTGTTTATTTATTTTTTTATAAAAAATCTAAATGAACAGTTATGTTTATAACCCTTGAAATGGGGAATGAGCCAGAGAAGCAAGACAGGTTAAGTGTGTTTTATAGTTCAAAACAAAAGACTTGAATTAAAAAATGTCATGTCTTTGCTCAGTGACAAACTACAGGATAGATGTGGTGATATGGAACAAGGATGTGCAGTGGGGATACTTGACTGTTAAACTTCATGGCAATGGTAAACAAGCACAGGCAACCATTGACCAGTAAGTCTCCTCTGCATATATAGCCAAGATTTGTCTTTATCTCCATGTTACTACCTTCTCTAACTAATGTATTTTTCCCCCTCATATTAGTAAATCCTTAAATTTCAAGAAGTTCACAGACACCGAGCTGTTGGCTGCGTTTGACAAAGACATTCAGTGGGTGGAAAAGGTGTCTGTTAAATTCTCCACTGGGAATGTATTGCAGCCCAAACGTAAGCTCAGAATTCTCAGAATCCGTCTCAAAAACCTGGAACCTAAAGGGAATAAAGCACAGGGGTATGCTAAAATTTTACCTTTAAGAAATGACACGCAGCATCAGCTGGTTTCTTTGTTGAAGCACTTCTTATATCTCCCAGCTGTAGATTTACCGACGTGTCTGGTTTTTCCCCTCACAGGCCTCTGTGTCGATATGACGTCCTTCTCGAGGAGAACAAAGAGGTCACCTTCAGGCCAATTCCCTGTGAAGAATCCAACTTCTAAAGGGGAGAAAAATTGCATAACATTTCACTGCATGTATGGAGAGAGATTCGGCTGATTCTACAGTTCTTCCAGAATTGTTCATGAAAAGACCAGCACTGCTAAAACAAAACAAAATAACACAATGTTGCCTCACAGTAAGAAGGTCTATGTTTGAGCCAACTGGCTCGCTGGGACTTTTATGTGCAGTTTGCACTGTCCCACAGTTATTTGGGGGTTGGGTTAACTGGTGATTGAGTCTAAGTTGGCTGTCGGTGTAACTTTGAGTGTGGACTGTTGTCCGTCCCTGTTGTTAATGCGATAGACTGGTTGGCCCCCTGCACCTCTGAACTGGATAAGTGGAAGATGGATGACTAGACCAGTAATGTGAATTAGACAGATTATCTGTCACAAATGAGTGAAAAAATACTAACATATTTACCTTTTTTGATAGAAAAGTAGGGCTGTCAACGTTAACGTGGCGTCACGATTAACGCTCCAGATGGGTGAATTGCGTTAAAATGGGTGTAGCTCAGGTGGCAGAGCAGGTCAGCCACTAATCAGGAGGCCGGTGGTTCGATCCCAGGCTGCCTCCTGGCTGGGCAAGATACTAACCCCATGTTTGCCTACTGGTGGTGGTCAGAGGGCCCGGTGGCGCCAGTGTCCGGCAGCCTCGCCTCTGTCAGTGCGCCCCAGGGCAGCTGTGGCTACAATGTAGCTTGCCATTGCCAGTGTGTGAATGTGTGTGTGAATGGGTGAATGACTGAATGTAGTGTAAAGCGCTTTGGGGTCCTTAGGGACTGCGTAAAGCGCTATACAAATGCAGGCCATTTACCAAATTTTTTTAATTGTGTTAATTGTGTTAACCCGTTAACGTTAACAGCCCCTGTCGAACACATAATGTACGACTGATAGATTTTATTCCCTTTAGGCCTTTTGTTTTTGTTTTTTGTTGCTTGTCTTTGCTTTTATTTCTGTTTACTTTTTTATGCCAATATAAATTTTCAACATACATATATCAGTAGTAACTATATTTATTTTTAATAAACACACAATGCACATCAGCACCCAGTAAATTTACATTCTTTGTGCAATCAGAAAGAAAACAAGTGCTATTTTTTTTTTCTTTTTACAAGCCTAAAATCTGTGTGCTCATCCATATTACATTATTATAAACAAACTCTTGAGTCTCTGTAAATGAACTGCTGCTTGTCATTTCTCATCCTTCTCTCTCTCTGAGTCACTGTCACAATGGATAAAAATGCAGTTCAATTATGCCGTAGTACATATTGCCACCAATCATTGTCTTAATGGACGGTGATGAGTGAAATCTCCTGGAAAACTCAAAATGTGAGATTACAGTTCCCCGGTAAGAATGTTTATGAATGCCTTTGGTGACGTGACGAGAAAAAAACAAGATGTTTGATGTGTAACTGCGCCGGTCATCTCCAGAAGGAAAGGACAGTTTGCTGCAGCCTCCGTCTTTATGTCTGCTTCCATCTTTGCACTTTCACCAGTGACTCAGTAAAAATATTAAGCCCTCTGGGTCAGCCCACTCAGCAGTCCAAAAAGAAACGGTAAATCAGAAATCTGATGAAAGAATAGTCGTCTTTGCTCATTTAGACATGTGCTTCTTCATTCGCTGAATTTCCATCTAAAACGGAAAAAAATTGGATTTTGAAAAAAATCAAATCATGATAAATCTTCCCACCTTGAAGTGTTTACGCCCATTGAAATACGATGTTACTAAATTTTATTATCCTCGGCCACTTTACCTGTAACGTTAAGCGAATCCTTTTCTCCTCATCCAGCTCATTCATCAGCAGTTTGATTTCTTTGCTGGAATAACACAATGTTGTTAAATTAGCACAGCAAAAACCTGACTGAAACTACAGTTGGTTGGTACTGATGCTGGGCTGGGAGTGTCAAATGCCCTCCAGAGTGAGGATGAGCAGGTAAACAGAAAACTGTGCAGATGTCTACAACTTATAGCTAATGTGCAATTAGGGAAAGACAGCCATACTTGTGCTGAGTCTTCATCTGTTCAAACTGGCCCTTCAGGTCTCTCAGCTCTGTCTGCAGTTGTTCCAGGTTTGGCGAGGCGTGCCCTTCTGGATTTCTGCTGGGCTGTGAGTTGATGCCTGCAGGCGGAGCTGGGTGCAGCACAGCAGAGATAGCCTTTGGCAGGAGAGAGGAGAAAGACTCTGTGGGCATAGTTTTGGTTTCTAATGCCTGTGGAAAACACAAAAGAAATATAAGAAGTTGTCATTTACTGCAGTTTAACAGCTGTGGATTGTACGACCTTTAGCATTTTATTTTATACACTGCTCGAAAAAATAAATAAAAATGAAAGGAACACTTTGAAAACACATCAGATCTCAATGGGAGGGAAAAAACTGTGCTGATATTTCTACTGATAAAGACTGCATGATGAATGATGATGCCACATTGTGAAATAGAAATAAAAATGATCAACCTACAAAGGGCCGAATTCAAAGACACTCATCACCCATCAAAGTGTGGTGTGCTGTGGGATCTTCCCTGGAGGAGGAACTGTCTGCATTTTCTCAACACATTGTGAAACACCACGAGGAACCCACAGGAACACTGCACCAACATAGGGTCTGACAATCCAAGGACTTGATAACTAACGGCTGTCAGGGTACTGCCTTTTAGCCTGAAGAGGTCTGTGTGCCCCTCCATGGATATGCCTCCCCAGGCCTCCTTGACCCACCACCAAACCAGTCATGTTGAACTACAGGCAGAATAGCATTCTCCACAGCTTCTCCAGGCCCTTTCACGTCTTTCTCACAGCCTGCTCTCATCTGTGAAAAGCACAAGGGGTCAGCGATGGACCTGCCAATTGTGGTATTCTAAGGCAAATACCAGTTGGCTCCATGGAGGACGTTGGGCCCTCAGGCCAGCCTCATGAATCAGTTTAATTGTTTGCTCAGAGACATTCACACCAGTGGCCTGCTGGAGGTCATGTTGTAGCGCTGGCAGTGCTCATCCTGTTCCTCTTTGCACAGATGATCAGAAGGTTAAGGACCTTCTATGCTCCTTTCCAGGAGTAACTGCCTGTTTGATGTGCTTTCCTGGAGCAGTTAGACTACCTGTGCAACCTATGTAGTGTCCAGGTGTCGTCTCATGCTACTGGTAGTGACAGTGACCCTAGGCAAATGCAAAACTAGTGAAAAAACACTCAGGAAAAATGTCAGTGTCCTCCACCATGTAAAACCATTCCTGGTGTCTCATTGTTGGCCCTCAGTGCACCTGTTGTTAATTTTATTAACAGCAAAACAGCTGAAACTGATTAACAACCTCCCTCTGGTCAATATTCTAGAAGTTTAATTATCTTGATGCTATGCTCTGATTAAAAAGTGTTAATTTCATTCAGTTTTTGAGCAGTGCACTTACAGGCGGGATGGATCCATTCTGAGTTGTTTGTTGAGTTCCTTCTGGCAGCGAATTCCTTACTTCACTCTGGGTTTTCTTTCGTTCCTCCTCCATCATGAGTGTTACCTGTAAAATAAAGTCTAGTTTGAGACGTCTGATGAGTAAAATACATTAAATGGTGACATGTCGTTCTAGCTTTTGGTGTTTCTTAATCCCAGAAGATGATTTTCAAAAAGGGGACCGATTCACTACAGGGCAAGTACCTTTTAACTTTGTTTTAAGTAAGGAGTCAAAGTAGATATCTTCTGCGTCTCTACTTGTCTCTCTGTGTGTGTATGGGGCAGCTCAGAAAAGTTAAATTTATCCCAAGGACAGAGTGACACAAGCAGACCACACCACACACTCTTTTCAAACACAGCACCAAGCTATAAACAAACTGGACGATTAAGAAATGGAATGGCTTGGCTTGTAGATGGCTTTCATTAAAAATGTATACTTCCCAGAGTCCGAAGCTCTGACTGTAACCTCTCATCTACAGCATGAGCTGCGTGCGCATTCAGCTTCTCCGTGATAGACACAACTGACACAAACTCCTCAGTGTCTTTGAGAGAAATGGAGATTACATGTTAAAACACACCTCACAGAGCTTGGAAGTCACTGAATGGTCATTCTTAGACATCTCGCTCCTTCTTTTGCACATTTTCAAAGTCTAGATTAACATTCTGCCTCAGACATGCAGCATCCGAGCACAGTAGCATTTCAATATATGTAACAAACAATAGTTGCAAGGCTTACCGGGAATGAGGGCTGAACTATAGCTGCCCATCGTGACAGAGAAGAATACAGTGAAAGACAGAAAAACCCTGCAGTGCCCTTAAGTCTACATCTACAAATGACAAATGGGAGCAAGTCAGTGGGACACAAATCAACAGAAACCTGTCAGCTCAGTGCAGTCTCACACCGTGCTGCTTCTTTAAAAGATCTGTGCTCTTTGTCATGAATCAGCCCAGCAGCAGAAGTATTTCTTTATCAGTGAGTGTGAGAGAGAGACTAAATGTGTAAGAGCAGAGGCAGCTGTTTCTCTCATGCCACAGCAGTGAACTAATGGGCAACACATGCTGGAGCCAGTGCAGAGTAGGGAGCACAGTGACAGATTAGTAAACGTACTAAACCAATTACCAGATTATTGTCAGTTAAAGCCACGATCCGGAGCGCACGCTCACCTTGTTTTTCCAGCTTCGCCGCTGAGATAAAGCAGCATCTGCGGTAACTCGACACCACCCATTGTAATCCACAGTGGTCTGCAGAGTATGCTGCGATGAAGAGTGGTGCTGTCCGGTCTAAGTTTAGAGCAGAGCCCCCCCATTCTGCTCCCAAATATCAGCGGCGTCACAGACTGACGGCTGACAGTTGTTTAAACGCACAAACGATGCAAAAAAACAAAAAATCTAGAAGGTTGACGACTTCAGTTTAATTCTCACAAGCTGTTTCAAAACAGTCGTTTCAAAACGCTAGAGAGGCATATCTACGTAAGGTTTGCAATAATGTCTTCATAAAAGGACATTCTTGTGAATGAGTTAGTAAAACGGTGAGTAAAAAAAAAGAAAGAGGAAACAGAAGAGTTTCCAAACTCCCTCTACACACATTCACACAACTCGCATAACACAACAACAGACTGTCCTCCTGTCACAGCTCCAGAGATCAGCTGTTGTCGAATGCTTGAAGAAAAAGATATTTCTTCAGCTTAGGTTTAAAAAGTGACCTCAGGCAAGCATCGAGCTGTCTGGGGTCACTTTGGAGGTCATTCCAAAGTGTCAGTGCCACAAGATGAAAGCCAGGACCCCCTTTTTGTATACCTTTCAGCTGTAGGATGGGTCAGGAATGATTAGGTTAGAATCTTGAGGGAGTATATGTACATATGCATTTCTACCAAGACCATTTAAAGCTTGAAACACAAGTACTATCACTTTACTTTGTAAGGGACGGAGCCGGTGCAGGACTGCTAACACTGGAGTAATGTGATCTCGGGTTTTTTTGTTGCAGTTAGTAGTCTGGCTGCAGCATTTTTAGAATAGTTGTAAGAGATGATTCACTAGTTGTTTACAATGCTGTAGTCTAAGGTTAACAAAGGCACACATGGCTTTCTCTAGATCTGATGGACCTCTGGAAAAATTAGTATGAAAATTGTTCTGAGGTGGAAAAAATTGCTTCAGGACATGGCATTTGTCATAATGCCTAATGACTGTAATTTCACAGTGCCCCAACTTTAAAAGATGTACAATATTTAGCAGCTAATATCAGTAATATTTAACCATTTACATTAACATTTTAAGTGAAAATAAAGCCTATCAAATGTACAGCTTTAGGAAATGTGAAGATTTTGAACTTTTTACTGTATTTTCATTAGCTTTTCCTATCAATAAAGACCCCCAACCCCCATTGCCACTCAAACTTCACCAAGGTACAAGAACACTTTCTGTGAATTACTAAAATAAACCTCAGAGAAAATAACTTTTACTCAGTGTGATTGTTTTTAATGTTGCTCTTAATTTGTTCTGTTATTGTGTATTCTTTACGTTTGTACGGGATATTGTATGTTTTAAATGTTATATATTTATGTGGTACGTGTATTTTGACTTTTGTTGCCAGGTCTCTCTTGGAAATCAGTTTTTTTAATATCAGATTTTTTACCTAGATAAATAAAGGACTAATACAAGAAAAAACCCCACTTATTTTCTAAATGTATAATTACAGGATAGTCTGTATTTTTGTAGGAAACTGGAGGAAAAAAAACAAAACAAACAAAAACAGGAAATCTACAGCATCTGATTTAAACATTTGTGGCATCGATTCCCAAAACCTGTATCCACCGAGGTCTTTGCACTCATTAAAGGGTTACACAGTATGAAAATCATTGTATTATTTTTAAATGTTGTACACTGTTAATGTTGTTTGGGAAAAAGGCTGAGACTGAGTGCTTAATCTCATTTTATTGAAAGTGTTTAAACACATTTTACAAGTAGTACCCAAGTGTCCACTGAGACTGTTTTCTAATCAAAGACATCTTATCGTGGGTCTTTATGGACAGTAAAAGTCAGATACTAAAGAGATTTTTTTTTTGTACTTAAATCTGAAATGTGACGCTGTTGGTATTAAAAAACAAACAAAAAACCCCAAACAAGGACTCCCATAATCACAAGCAGCAATTACCAAATCATCTGAAGAGAGGAAAAAGCAGGGCTGTATAATACAATGGCCTATGTTACAGACAATGTCAACCAAAATACTGCAGTACTTTTACAAAGAATAAAGTAAAACACCAAAATAAATTGAATAAAAAGCTTTCACGATGCAGGATGGGATTGTAGTGAAGCTTTCTGCAGTCCCCCTGACAGCAAAGAGCTTGATGAGAATTTTTCTCCATCCATGTTAGCTGAACGTAGGACCTATACAAGAAAAAGAAAAAAAAAATCTTTAGAATCTTCTTACGTGTTGCATCTGAAGCACGTATCAAACTTGAAGCCGCTGATGCTTCCCAACTCACTAGTGGTCATCACCACCGTTGCTGGTTGGGTCCTCGGTTGTACGGTGCGCGCTGACGCATCACTCTCATGTTACGGTATTTGGACACGATACTGTAACTCTTTCTGAACACTGGTCTCTGATTCGGGAAAGGACGCGGCACCAAGCTCTCCTTTTTCAAAAACAAACAAACATGTAATGAAGAATTCGTTTTAAAGAACGAATGCTTCTTTTCCAACAAGAGAGATGATCTCTCTACTTACCATGAGTGGTCTTCTAAAATTCCCAGACAGTTCAGGGCCCATCCTCCGTGGACCACCAGTGAACTTTGTTCTCTGTAAAAGCACAATGGTAAAAGCTGAGTATATACAACATTTGTGTGATTGTACTGTAATCACAATACAAATTAGTTTTACATTTTCCAAAACATTACTGCTGTTTTTTTAAACTAGTTTCAATGTCAGGATGCTATAAAGTGTTAATAATAGTTTATCTTCATACCTCTGCAAGCTCAATATAGTCAGAGTTGGTTGATATGGACAAAACTTTTATCACAAAAGAGAAATCGGTCTGCATTACTAGCTGCAATAACCAGTCTATTCACCAACTCTTAAACTTATCAAAAATAAATGTTAAAATAAAATGTCCTTGAAAATTGGGAAACTTATGATTTGTTTTAAATTTGAGAACAAATTAAATATCTAGCATTATTAATCATGTCTTGAAAATCTGAGAACAGCAGCTAACATCATTTAGGCTTTCTATAAGTCACCGCACACATTTACTTTTTCTACAATACAAGTATTTGGATAAGAATACTTAGCTTCAGGTTTAGCACATGTCCTTTTGCAGATAACAGAAACATGTCCATTATGATTGGCTGTTGTGGTGGCGTAACGACACCCTTAAGTAATGTCTGACATGTCTGAATTTAAAAGCCTACAATTTTCAACACTGACATTCTTTCCCTTTAATAAAGTACTCTGTTTTATAGCCCAGCATTAAATTTTATGATTTCACTGAAAACATCTACATTAACATGCAGACTATATAGTTTCTTTCATATTTGATCTTGCAAATATATTTAATTATAATTTAAGTTATTAATGCAGACTGACATTGTTTTACACAAGTTTCTGATTATTACTGTGCATTTAGAGCAGTCTGTCTTTATGGATGATCTTTTCTTCAGCACTGTTTCTTTCACTCACTTGCATGGGTCCGGGTCCGGGTCCTTTCCTTAAGGGTCTCCCAGGTCTGTAGCTGTCATGCATCATATTAACAGGCCTACAAAAAACAAATAGCCATCAGAAACCTGAAGAATACCTTATTTTTATGCTTCTGTGAAATCATACATTTTTCCCATACAACTAAAAGAGCATGAGGCTGTTACAGCAGTCTTTGAAAAAGACTGAACCTCCCAGTAAAGCAAGAACACCGCCTCGAACACTGGCATAGTTCTTTCCAATGTACCTAAAGACCCTCTTGTCCAAATATTCCTGTTTTCTGTCTTCAGGAGAAGATCTGGTATCACTTGACTTAGAGAGGCGTCTGTTTGGTGTGGTATCGGCATCTGAACTGTGATCTAAAACAAACAAAAAACATTTGAAGACACTACTTAAAACAGTTGACACCTTCAACAGATTATCAGATGAAAATTAAAATAAAAAATTAGAAATAAGACAAGTACACAAAAACCTGACTTACCACTCTTTGACTTTGGGCTACGGCCCTTTGGAGGCGAGCAGTCCTTGGAGGAGCTCGGTCCTGGTGGCCAGTGCGACAAAACGACAAGATCACGTTTCTCTATGGGAGAAGATCTGAGGAGAAAGTCACAGAGGTGGTGTTGAGAACACCAGTTCTGAACATAAATAACTTGAAATCTCTGAATAAAAACAGACCTCTAGTACAAACTAAAAGAAAGCCTGGCGGCTCTTAAGTAATGCAATTTAAACCAGTAATGAACAAAACTGTTTTGTATGCTGACAATTCAAAAAGCCACGCATCGCTTGGGTACTTACAAAAAACCCATGGAATGTCCATGCTCCTTTACTCCTATTTTTGTACCCTGAATCAATCAGTGCTCTCTTCATTTACTCAGTGATTGACAGAGGAGCCAAATGTTGGACGACGTTAAGAGATCAGATCAAGTCTTCTATCATCCCTCTTTCACAAGTGCAGGAAGGCAATGCATTTTTCCCCCCCCCCAATGTCAGAATGAATTTCTGAAGGCTTTATAATCAGACCACACCATGTTGTTCCTTTAGTCATCTTCAGTTTTCATCATCCAAAGGGCTTCCCCATGCTTTAAAGGTGAGATTGGAGTCACCAAGTGATCTATAGTTCTGAAGGTAGAGGCACAGCTTGTTTTTTTCTTAGTTTCAAGAGATGATCTAAAGGTTGTCTGTTCACAAACAAGTCCAGGTTTAGAGAGGACTTGAGGCTTTTTAGTGCCAACAAAGGAGGCTTCCATCCAATCATACTCTTCTTAAATGTAGGGATGTTAGGTATATTGGAAGAAAAGGCTGGGATCAGTTTGCCAGTTCTGCCATCGATGGGCTACAATGGCACTCAGTTTTCCTCTTCCATTGTAGTTTAAACTTACATTTGGGTAGATCAGGGATATTCGACGGAGAATGTTGGTTTGGGGGGGGGTTGGTTCCTGAAACTGACAAGGTAGTGTCTTTACAGGTTGGCATTCACAAGTTTGGGTTAGAGACTTTCGTTGCAGTTGCCTCGTAAAATGGCTCAAATGTTTTAC